CTTTTTCAATTCATTGAAGTATTTTCAAATGGAATTGTTTTTTTCTTCAATTCCATTACAAGGAATTTCATATTGGAATTGGAATAAATTACGTGCTAGTAATGTTATTTCTTTTATTTAAATTCCTTTGAAAGGAATTGAAAATGTATTTTTTTTCCAATTTCTTTGAAAGGAATTGAAAATGTAATTGATTTTTTTTCCAATTCCATTCCTCAAAGTAATTTAAAAAGTAATCGAAAAATTTATAAAAAAAAATTTTTTTACTGTTGAATTGCAATAGCTTTGTTAAATTTCTTGGTTGCTAACTGCCTTGAATAAACAACTTATACCTAATTAGCATTACTAATTGGACTTTAAGAAAACTGAATAGCTTAAACTGTTGCTGTTCAGTTTATAGGGTAACGGTTAAATTTTCCAGATCCTACCGCGAACGCGCTTCGCGGCAGATGAGACCCATAAATGTTGCTGCCTTGGGCACTGCTGTTCTCTTGGACTAATCCCTGCGTATCTATAAAAATGCACTGAGTTAATTGTGTACTTAATTCTACTCAAAACGGTGTGCCTTCTGGGACCTTTGAAGTACTCTTACTGGTATCCTGCGTTACCGCTTGAATTACGAGCCCTGTGGGACTGGAGATCCTACCTCCCAAGAGTTTTATAAACAAATTTCATTGCTATGGCTAAATTGTGATGATAACACTGATGATAAAATTACACAAAAAACGCCGAGAGACGTAAAATTAATTTTAAGTAATATGTTACGGATCTGTATACCGTTTTTTTAGATAAGGTAATTTAGTCAAGTTATTTTCATTTTAAGTTTTCATTGCGAATGAAAAAAATTCAAACTTTAAAATGATCATACGGTCATGTACGATATGGCGTGTGGGTAACATTATTTCCTGCTAGTATTTCATACAGAAAATTATTGCACTTTCACTTAACCCTTGCAAACTTGTTTATTTATCCATCGATTTTCATCAGTAGTAGGGTTTTAAGTCGCAAAACAAGCAGATATTGGCTAGTATATACTAATATACATTTTGAAAGGCATTTTTTTCTGTTCGCATAGCTCGAGAAAGGCCGTACCGATTTTTTTGAAATTTCAGAATCTACTGCCGACTTTCCAAGGGTGGTTATAGGCTAAAAAAAGTTTCGATATAGAAAGGGGGCGTGGCACCTCCCATACAAACCGAATTTTTCAAACTGCATTTATTTGTGGTAGAGGACTAGAACTGGGTATGGTGTTATATACATATATAAGACCCATTCCATACTCATGGAGAAAAATTTGGATGGTTGGAGAATGGGGCGTGGCACCTCCCATATAAACCGAACATGGTAGACTGTAAGCCTTTTTAAAACTCTTTAGTTTGACACCCACATGCCAACATTTCATTTACTTTATCAATTTAACTGAGTTACTATTTCCAAATAGGTGGCAGCCCCCCTCAAAAATATTTCCAACAGTTATATTTCTTAAACCTCTTTAATTTGATACCCATATTGTAATATTTTATTTATTTTATCAATGTAATTTAGTTAAATTTTCAAACAGATGGCAACCCTCCTCAAACATATTTACGGCAGTAAGCCTTCTTAAAACTCTTTAGTTTGACACCCACATGGCAAGATTTCATTTTTTTTACAATTTGACTGAGTTTAAGTTTTCAAATAGGTGGCAACCCTCGTCAAAAATACTTCCAGCAGTTATCTCTCTTAAACCTCTTTAACTTGATACCCATATTGAAATAATTCCTTAATTTTATTAATATAATTGGGTTTAAAAATTTTAAAATAGGTGGCAACCCTCCAAATTTTTGCGATATCATTGGTTCTGGTATTATACCGAATAATAAAAAAAAAATTATTCAAATCGGTTCAGCCGTTCTCGGGCTTTGATGATCGTGACATACAAACACAACATTTTTATATATATGATATACATAGAAGATGTCCAATGTGTGCTTTCGATTTTAATCTTTGACCACAACAAAAATTCCTCATTGTACATTCGTGAATGAACTTTCAGTTTCTCGATTACTTTTACAATTCCTTTAAGTAATTGAAAAAACTAAGGTACTCTTGCAATTCCAGGTAATGGAATTAAAAAAAAAAAAAAACAATTATATTTTCAATTCCTTTCAAAGGAATTGGAAAAAAAATTACATTACTAGCACGTAATTTATTCCAATTAGAATATGAAATTCCTTGCAATGGAATTAAAGAAAAAACCAATTACATTTGAAATTACTTCAAGGAATTGAAAAAAGTAATCGATTCCTTTGCTGTGGACTGAAGGAATTTATTCCTAATTACAATTCCTTGTAATCTGTAATTGGGAGTAATTTAATTCCTAAAGGAATCATTACGACCCAGCTCTGTCCATTATGCTCTGAAAAACAAAATGTTTGAAATGAGAACATTTGTGGTCAATATCCTAGGCTCGCCCAAGTCCATCAAAGTTCAAGTACTAAAAAAAAATTGTTTTCTTAGCTAACTTCCATAGGAGGATATTGACCAAAAAATTACAAATTTCACACAGATTTAAGAAAGTTGCCTAACTTCGACAATTTTTATGAGATTGCAATAAATGGGCTATCAGTTTATTTAAAAAGTGATTTATTTTTAGATAGTACTACATCTTTTGAAATTGTGGAAATCATTGATGATCAAAATTTTAAAAATTAAGAGATATATGGGTTTTTTTATTTTACCCGATAAAAAATCCCAACAAGCCAAGTCCGACAATAGATTATTATATCTATACATCCTCTTCTCGGATCATATTCGATCTTTGACATCAGATCAAAAGTAGTCATTCAAAAATCCAAAAAACTACAAAATCGTATTTACTGACCTAAATGACCTTTAAAAAATCTAAAAAAATAAGCAATAATATTTCCCATAAAACCGAATAAAATTAAAATTTCCAAAAAAAAACTTTTTCGATGGGCACCCTAATGTGTATATTTAAACAAAGTACTCAGTACTCTCAAAAGTACCCGATCCTTAATAGTATCGATGCTAAGTATCATCAAAAGTACGATACTTCGCAACACTAATTATTACAATGTGCATATAAATCGAAATGGCTTTGGAAATTCCTTTATTTCTCAACTCCAAGTTGAGGTAGTAGGGAGGAAGTAGGGTTGCCACATATTCGAAAAAGCAAGGAAGTAGTGCCAAGAAATCTTTTATAGGTGAAAATGTTTTATTTCTAAACTGCATTTGAGAGGGTTGCCACCTGTTTATAAAGTCAAGTTCCATTTCATTTATCTTTTAATTTTAAGGTTGCCAGCTATTGGAAAGTAAATTTAATTTGAATTATACATAGATCATATAAATTATCAAAATATGAGTGTCAAACGAAAAATATTTTAAAAGCTTTAACTTATAAATTGCTAATTTTTATGAGTTGGTCCATTTGATTGATGGCGTTAACTTTATTTATTGTCTTGGATGGGGGTTCAAAGTTATGCGGTGTGAATATCGTTTTTAGATAGCTTACAAAGGTATTAGTCTTTTCTGAATCCCTTTTGCCCATTCGTTGCTTTCCTTTGTTATTGCAGTTTCTATCAAAGTGGATCTCTAGAATTTGCTCGCTGCTTTCCAGAGTGAATATTCGGTAGTTGCAGATGCATCAATGCGTTCGTTATTTAGGGTCACTTTTAGTTATTTTGTTAGCTTTTTCAATCGTTCTCTATCCTCAGGGTATATATTTTGTTGACACCTTTTCCTTGCCAGTTGTTTTTTTCTTCTTATTTTCGTCTTTACTTCTAGAAAGATTGATACATTTCTTCCCTTTTCAAGGGGTGGTGTTGAATTCCACGCGGCTTGCTGGATACAATTGTTGATATGTTCTAATAGAGTAGTAAGGTTTTCTTGAGATTTCAGAGGTAAGGTCAAACAAAGGGCGTAAGAAACCATAGATAGGAAAGTATTCCAGTTTGTTTTCCGATTAGGTAGAGTACATCGTGTGGGCTTGGCAGCGAAAAAAAACAGGGGAGTGATCAGAAGACAAATCGAAACAAGAGCTAAACGCTACTTCTGAGGGCACAACGTTTTTAAGTTGGGTATTTTCTTCATATCTGTTGGCCAGTATGTAGCTTTTCCAGACGAGAGTAAAAATAAATTGAGATTTCTGATAGCAGCGCAGAGTTGTCGTACTTAAGAAGTGATAAGGCGAGAGCCCCAAAGGGTGTGATTTAAGTTTTAATCGCCTCCAGCTATGAACCTATATTCAAGAAAATCGAAAAGAAAGTATTATATAAGTACGTATACCTTTCGAACAATATTTTCCGGTCAAGTGTGTTTACTTACTTTTAGGCGCACATGCAATTCTCGCCTATGGCTAGTTCACACGCAAAGTGCTAAAACTAGTTATTCTATGCGAGTACCGAAATTTTCAAATCATAGTTTAAACTGAAAGATAGCTCAGCCTGTACCATAAATACCCCGGGATTAATTCTGGTTCAATAATTGTCACTTTCAAAGCATTTATCAAAATATTATTGCAAAATATTTTATGAAGTTACAACAACAACGACGATAAAGTATTGATTACCGAAAACCAATGACCTCAAGACAGCATTGTTAAAAACAAAAAAACAACAACAAACTTGAACAAATTGCAGTGAAAACTACATACAATTTATTGTTGTTTTTTTTTTGTTTATGTAAATTTGCGTTTGCAATAGGAATACATGGAGTGTCTATACATACATAAATTTTTTTTTTGTATGATATATAGCCCTTTCTGAAACATAAGTGTGCACATACATACTATGTATGTATTTTTGAAAGCGTTTTGAGTTGGTTGGTAATAATTTTTTTTCTTTTTTCTTAATTTTCCCAAATGCTGTATGCAAGTAAATATTCTCCTTTGAATTGTATGCGTTTAATAAAGTCAGTAGGTACCTGAGTAAATTGCTTAGTTACTTTGTATTTATTATTACAATTACAAAAAAATAAACAGCAAACAATTATTTATGTAAATATAAAGTCATAGTCGTCAGTTTTAATTATTTTGCACAAAGCATAATTTTTGTGCGAAGCAAGAAACGCGCTTAAACTAGTATGTATTCGAAATTTAAAACAAAAAAACATTTAAAGCCCCTTTTGTATATCTTTCGTCTAAAATATTTAAGTTGATGAAAATTGAAGAAAAACGTATTGTAACAATAATTTTTTGTCTACATAACTACTAAACAACATTTTTGGTAATAATTGATATTTTGTTTGCTTTTCTTTTAAAGAACAGCACATGCAATGTTTAACGTTTTTTAAATATTTTTTATTTTCTAAATTTGTATTAACTCTCAACTTGATTACTTTTTCTCACTTTTTTTTTTTTTTACTTAAAAATATACATAATGATAATAAATTTCTTCTTTTATTGTAACAGCAAATAGTTTGCTTGTTGTTGTAAATTGTTCTGCATCTTTTGTCGCTTAGTTGTTGGTGCGCATCCGCCGCAGCCATGATGAACAGAGTGATGATAATGTTGAGAGTTGTTCCACCTCGTTTTGTCTTCTTTTAATTAGCCTCTCCTTGAAAAGCATTAAAACTTAGTAAACAATTTTGGATGTTAATTTGTTTTATTATTGTGGTACATGGGTTGATGTTGCGTTTCAAGATTTGCACTTTTTTTTTGCTAAATTCGCAAGCAACTGGTGGGAGGTAGAGGCAGCGAGGTTATTATTTTTTTTTTTTGTTGTAGTTACTAATTATAGTTGTGTGATGTTCTTGACGGTTTTTGTTGTGTTTGTTGTTTCAGCACAACCCTCTTTATTCTCTTGGTTTCCTTGGCTTTGGTTTTATTTCTTCTACTAATTTCTAGTAGCCTATTCACTTTGTTGTTGCTGTTTTGATGACTTAATATTTTTCCTTTGTTCTTTCTTTTGCTTGTTGTTACTCTTGCTACGACACTTTTTATTCTTAATAAATAAATTGCAAACAATAATCCATCTCTCACTACTATAGGTATATAGTTAAGCCTGTATCTCCTTTCTAATAATGTAGTACACCTCGTCATGGTTTTAGCACCATTGCTCCTACTTTGTGCTTACTAGTGTTGTTGTTATGGTTGTTGTTGTTGTTTTGCATTTAGTAGGCGTGATTGGCAACGAAGAGTGCAGCATCAGCACCAGCACCGACCACACTACCGGCAACATATTTGCCCACAGCAGATTCACCGTTAGCCTACGAAAGGGATGAAATAAGAAAATAATAGAAGTAAAATGATTAATTGATTTTGTAATTAACAAGCGATTATTATCTAAGATTAAGTAAAATTTCCTCATTGCTTAACTAAAGTTTATATTGCTAAGCTTAACGTTTACTTAAGTCCACTTAACATAAAAATTTTGAGCAAACACTTAAATTTTTACCCAAAATATGATTAAAGAACAATTTTTTTTTGTTGAAGATGATCCCACCGAGCGATAGTACGCACCTCTAACCATTCGGCTACAGCGGACGCCGCCGAGTTAGACTGCCATACCAAAAATTATCTACATACTTTTTCGACTTCTTCTAGATTAAGTTGCATCTTTTCAAGCAAAGCCTGAAATACGTATGCCTTTTTACAATAAAAAATAAATACAGTTTTTATCTGAACAAGAACAAACAGAAATTGCAGCTAACGATTTGCTTAACAATTTTGAGCAAAAATTGTCGGTCATTAATTTTTTGGCATTGTGAACTGTATATAAATTTCTCAAAAAATGTTTACGTATTCAGAAAAAAATTCCTAAACGGTCCAAAGAATTTCGAAATGTCCCACAAGCAGCGCGAAAGCTCTCAATATAGCTCGAAAACTCCAAAAAAAAAAAGAGGCTAGAAAAATCCTTAAAATTCCTAAAAAAATCCAAAAGAACCGAAAAATGTTCACAAAAATGAGTTATAGTAAAAAAAAATAAAGAAGTCTCGAAAAAAATTTCGAAATTAATACAAAAAAATATATTTCGAAAATTTAAAAAAAATTTCGAAAAAAAAAATCAAAGAGACTCAAAAAGCGCGTACCCTTTTGTTATTGTTATTCTAGCGTAATAATATTTATTTCAAAAAAGTTAATAAGCTTTATACCACGATTTCTTTTTAGGAAAATAGATCATTTTATTTATTTTTTTCAGTCGCGCCAAAATTAAAGGAAAACTCTTCTGGCATTGCTTATCAAAAATCTCAACCAAACAAATTATTTAAAGCACGAGAAAGTCTTCTAAATTTGAAATTTACAAATATTTTTTATTTGGGGTCGCTGTGATGTAGCGGTTAGCAGTGGGCGCTTCCATTCAGCAAGACCTGGGTTCGAGCCCAGTTTCCTATGAGCATAAAAAAAACGAAAACAAAATTATTTCTAATAGCGGTCACCCCTCGGTAGGCAATGAATGGCAAACTTTCGAGTATATTCAGCCATGAAAAACAGCTTCTCATTAAAATACAATCGCCGTTCGGAGTCGGCATAAAACTGTAGATCGCTCCGCTTTGTCTGACAACATCAAGGCGCACGCCGCGTATCGGATCATTATTATTTATTTGCCATCTCTGTCTTAAAGTATCGATTGACATCACACATCATTGACAATGAGAGTTGTCATCATTAGAGCGCTTAAAATCAATTTTCGGCATAGCTTTAGGCGCAGTAGCAAAGATAATGGCCAGCCGTTGAGTTTTGTCATTGGCATGGGAATAGGGCTGTGAATCTCCTCTGCTTTATGGAGTTTTTTTCACTAAGTACTAACTAACTAGTTATAACCTCTTTCAGTTGAACTAATATGCATTTTTTAAGAGCTATTTCATGTGGTAGATGTGTTCAAACAACAAATTTTTATCGGATATTCCAAGCTCATTTGCCAATATTGGATGATTTAGTAGGGTACCCAGTCAGGAAACTGAATATCTCTCTCTCTCTCTTCACTCTTTAAAAATATCGATGCTACAAATATATCGGAGAGAAGTACTCGATACCTACTCGTATCGAAATCATTATAACATTCAGTAGAACCAATATAATTTTTTTTTGGAAATGATTATATAAACTTTTTAACGCACTGTCGAAGTCCGATTCCCTAACTGCTCAGCATTGCCGCCATGTTATTTGATTTGCTTCATACAAGTTAAGGTAGGATGCAGCTTAAGGTATAAACGTGTTGCCAAAAGCACTACAGCATGATTCATTCATTGTCACTACCAAACTTTCAAATAATTGAAAAAGCAAATGAATACTTTAACCGCGTACTCGATACCCACTTAAGTACTTGCGAGTATTTATTCGTAGTTTCTTGTGTTGGAAAAACACTAACTATATGTAAATGCTTTCAGGCAGACCTATTTAAATGGGCTTTCTGTTTGTATACTCTATTCGAGATACTTCGAATAGCCCTGCCATTGACGGTATATATACATATAAGAAGGTATGTTTCAAAGTCCAGTCAAATTGAATTTTTACTGACATCCCTTCTATTTCGAGAAAATTTGCCTTCTATAATAAGCTTAGTTAAAAGGCCAAAGAAACTCTGGCCAATCGCTTTCAAATTTCGAAAAGAGAAGCTTCTTAAAGATTTGGTTATTTTGTCTTTTAATTTGGCCGTTGGAGTTTCAATCGGTGTTGCTATTTTCCGCCTTTTTAATTGGGTTTAGCCAGAAAATCTTCTCTACATAGTTTCTAGCTTTTTTCATAGCCTTTTCTGCCTTTAAAAATGATCGAAAGGCAAGCATTAGTTGCAAGACGACACCGTGAATTTCTACACGGATGGGTCGAATCATGACCAAAGTGTCGGTGGATGGTTATTTCATGCAGGGCATCCTCATCAGGCTTTGGCAAGGGAATTTTCCCCAGTCAGACTAATTTGTGTACCAGGCCATATTGATATTGCAGGGAATCGCGTTGCGGATAAGTTGGGCTGGAAAGGTGCCCACGAGTCGTACTCACTGTATAAAGAGTGGGAGTACTTGCTCTTTGGTAAGTGATACTAAACTATTGGTTTTCACGCAATGGGGCTAAATATCGTACCGAATCGTCACTAACACAGCTGTTTACAGACCAATGAGATGGAATCATGTGGTAAATGTTTCCTAAGCTGCTTAGAGTTTGTGAGGCTATGAAAAATATTTACTTAAGTACAAAATAAGTTGCCCCTACAAAAATGTATAATTTTTTCCTAGTTATAATAACGACCAAAAATGTTTGATTTGTTAATTAAGCTTTTCTTTAGCCATAACTAAAATTTAGATTTTGCCCTTTTTAGCTTTATTTTTTGGCCAATCTCGCCTTTTCTCTGAAAAAATTCTGGCAACACTGGTTTGAATTAGTGTTGGGAAGTATCGAGTACTTTTAAGGATCGATACTTTTAAGAATCGGGTATTTTTCAGACTACCGAGTACTTTCTTTAAATATACACATGTTGGTAAAATTTCAATACTTAGTGTAGAAATCTCACAAGATGACAGTATTTTATTTAAATTAATATATCAATCCCAAATTACGTCAAATGAATGGCTAACTGTACTGGGCACAAGTATTGTATTTGAAAATTATTGAAACTGCCAATTGAGTACAATCATTTTTGAATACCGTAAGTAAATAAAACTCAGTATTCTTTAAGTCTATTCGACACTTAATACTGAGTACTTTGAATCGATCCTGAGTACATGTATCAGAGCGATTATTGGAACAGAGCATTTTTGAGTACTGAGTACTTTCGGGTTCGTTTAAGGTCTGAGTACTTTCGAGCACCTTTTTCGAGTACTGGGTACTTTCGAGTTCTTTTCTGAGTACTGAGTTCCTTGGAGTACTTAGTATCGATACTTTTAAAAATCGGGTACTGTCGATCCTTTTCAGAATCGAGTTCTGAGTACTTTTGATATCGATACTGCCTAACACTAGTTTCAATGCCATTAATCTCGAAGTGTGTAGAGTCTGCGAGGCGTATGAGTAATATTTATGTATGTATGTGGAGTCAGTTGAATGGATATATGTACTACGCAGTCAGCACAAAAATCCGAAAATGGATCCGAAAACAGATAGAACATTGGATGAAATGCGGATTTTTGCCCACTTATGGATTCCATTTCAGGGAACTTTGACGATCCGTTTTCCAACTAAAGTGTGTGGCAGAAATTTGCGTCTAGAGAAGTACTGAAAATGGTTGTGAAACGGCTAAGTTCTCAAATGTTTTACTGATATTTTTTCGTATAGAATTTTACATTAACATCTTTCCTTCTGTATTTCACAGATGCTTTTTTCATAGTTCAGAAAAAAAAACAAACGAAAAAAATCTTTTTATTGCATCTTGATGGCATTGAAATCCGAACCTGCTGGAAGCTATCAAATGACATCAAGCCTCTCTGCACGTTTAGCTACAGCCAAAAGTATAACTTATATTAATGACTCTAAATCGTACATTTTTGCCAAATACTCAACACTGCCAGTTAGAAGTGCTTTTATTATTTTGAGTATTTTCCACTATGAAGCCCCTTTTACTGTTCGTTACTCTTGGGACAAGCACTTGCTTTCTTAGATGATAACTGCACCAACTAAGAGTTCGTTCTTGTTTTTTCAATCAGCTCCAAAACTATATGAAAAATATGATGGGAAAAAGAAAACATAACGGACACTGATGGTAAGAGATCGGATAAACCGAAGGTGATTCAAGAGGAATATCAAGGCAATTGAAATAAGTAGCAGACTAAAACGGGTTTCTTTTTTATAGTTTTCAAACAATTTTTCTCGAACATGGCGAGCGAAAGTAAATGTGTATGAAGAAGCCGTCATAATAGCGGTAGTAAAAATGTTAGAAAAAGCGAAAACTTGTTTTTATTTGCAAAACAATTAAATTATATCTAGTGAACTATGTATGTATGTATGTATGTATGTATGTATATGTATATAAAAGTATTCTAATGTTGGATTTTTTTATATTTAACTATGCTTAGAAAGCTATAAAGCAAATTCATTGCTGCGTAAACGTTTGTATATAAATGTTTATATAAAAATTATATATAAAGGTATATTACAAAAAAATATTATAGTCTAAACTATATAATTAATTGCAAAAGCTCCACTGTATCCTTCCAATAAATGTACTGGATTTAAAATTTTTTTTTGTGCCATATGTATTTGTGTGCAATCCGCCGCATGTGTGCGCGTGTGTGTGAGTGTTCGTAGTTGTTTTTGTAAATAAATGCAAATAAAATGTGAATATAATCTGGTGTAAATTTCGTTTGTTTTCGTTTAATATTTGTGCGAGGCCACAAACAAGCTGGTATTGGCCGCAAACGAAGGTATTGAACCGGCTACGTAGATTCCTTGACATGCGAGTCCATTTGCCTGCATTTGGATACATTTCATGCATGCATACGAAGCAGATGAATAATGGCAGCAGGAGCAAAGATTTTTGTAGCGGTACAAAGTGTTGCGAAAGTGTGCGAGTATACATATTTTTAAGCGTGAAGATAATATAAATGCAAAAAGTGTTTAGTGTAGAAATTAGAACACAAAGAAAAATTTATAAAATATAAAACGTACTACAGTGCGTAAAGTAAGTTTAGAAAAGTTTTAAAATTTTTTAATAAATTTAATAGTAAGTGTGGAAATGTTGTTTATTAGTGTGTGGTGTATGTGTTTTTTCAAGTATTTGTAATAATGTACGAATACAAATTTTGAACTGTAAGTTCTGCCGACTAGCGTCTACTGGTTAGAATGTCAAATGATTATTAATATAATGTCATTATTAACCTTTTTATTAAAATTACATAGTTATAATATAATCTTATTTTCACTTGAAATGGGAATTTTAGAAAACCAAAATGGGTGCAGGGGGATAACAGAATAAATTAATAGGTAATAATGTCGACTTTACGGATTATCTGCATATCTAGAGGATTATAGTGCCTAAGAGGAGGGATTACTCTACTGAGCATTTTACAGTTATGATCACTTTTTTGAGGTAATGTTAATTTATTTATTTTTTTTTTGAGGTTATCTAAAAATGTCAATGCGGAAAACTCGTTAGTTTTATACCCACAGCACTTTTATATACGAATAATTGAATATGATAATTTTCTTCGGTGCTTCTAAAGCACAAAACAGTATTCATTAAAAATTTGGCCAATTTCTTAAAAAAAATTACAGAAAATATATATGTAGATACATATGCGTATCGATATTTCTCGATTTCTATAATTGTTAATAATACTATAATGCATCGAGTACAAATACACTTGTAATAATTTTAGGATATAAATTTTTTTCACCCCATAATTTTAATAGATTCTCAAAAACCCGAAGTTCTTATATTTTTTGCATTCTATACATTTAATTCGATTTTAAAAAATTATTTTTAATAGACTCTCGAAACCCCGAAGGTCTTATAATATTTTTCGCACTCTATACATTTGATTCGATATTAAAAAAGAATCGGTACTTTATTTGCGAATCTTTTACAGGGTAAAAGTACTTGATACCGGAAGTGAATTTCCGTTATTCACTACGAAATTTAAGAATAAATCTAATTTCTTACTACTGTGAATAAGATGTTTATAAAATATTTTTATTTTTAAATCTTAAACAAATATATTTCAAAATTGTATCTAATGAAAATTGTGATAATTTTTTTTATTATTTTATTAAATATAATTTTATTAGGCATATTTAATAAAATTTCATTTTATTATTTTTATTTTATATTATTTTGTTTTATTTTATATTTATTTTATCTTTCCACTTAATTTTACTAAAACATTTTTTTTAGTTAATTTCATTGCAATTTTTCACTTTATTAGATTTGATTTGATCGTTTCACTTCATTTAGTTTAATTTATGGTTTTATTTAATTTATTGTTAAATTTTATTTAAATATTTAAAATTTTATTTTATGTAATATTTTAATTTTATTTTATTTACGTATACCGTTTTGTTTTAGTTTTCAACTTTATTTTATTTTTTAATTAACATTATCTTATACATAATTTATTTTATTTTAATTAATTTTCTTTTTATTTCTTTTATTATTCTCTTTAATTAATTAATTAATTATTATTTTTTATATTATCTTATTTTCTTTTCTTTTATTTATTTAATTTTATTTTATTTCTTTATATTTTATTTTCTTGAATTTTTACATTTTTTTACTTAACTTTTTTTGTTTTTTATATTATCTTATTTTTTTTTTCTTTTGTATCTATATTTTCGTAATATATTTTTATTTCTCTACTCTATTTTTTTAGTTTAAAAATTTAACTTTGAAGAATCTTGCATAGAGTAACCATTTTGAAAATTGGAAGTATATATTTAAATTTAATTCTAGTATCCCTTACTAATGATTGTTTTTGGGACTGGAGGGATGTTATGAAACATGCAAGGACCTATTTGATGAAATTAAAGCTGAGTGTATGCGTTAAAAATAAAATACTTAATATCAGCCAGGAACTTTCTTAAATTGCATGTGCTAACTTTTCTTATTTTTTAAATTTAATTTTACTTTAAATCTCTGGATTTGCCGTCTTAATTCCGATTTCAGCTAGCTCCAAATTTTGGTTTTAACGCTTACACTCATTCCTTTTTTTCTCCTTCTATGCAACCTGTACCGTTTTCAGACCTCTAAGCGCCCACCAATACAATTACAACTACAACTACAAAATTATTTATACTCTCAACTTGTGTACATACCTTTGCACGTTTCAACAATTCATTTTGGCCAGCGGTAATGTTGTCCTTCTTGCCACCCCATGCTCGCAATACGGAAGCTTGTAGAGCACGACCGTACGAGAAGGTGAGAGCCCATGGTTTCAGCAATGGTACTTTGTTGATGGCGTTCAAGTGTACGGAAGCCTCTTCCTCAGATTGACCACCAGACAAGAAGGTAATGCCTAGCGATAGAATAGTATTAAATAGTCAAACGTTTTCTCCAACCTACTCTCTTAGCACAACAACTTACCGGGAACAGCAGCTGGTACAGTGCGGCGCAGAGCTTCGACGGTGGCGAGCGCAACTTGATCGGGTGTGTATTTCTTAGCGGACGATTGACCAGCTGTCACCATGTTGGGCTTCAACAGAGTACCCTCCAAGTAGACATGATGATCGTTCAAAGCCTTGTAGACAGCAGCCAATACGGTTTCGGTAACTTTTTGTGCACGCTCCAAGTCATGATCACCATCGGGCAACACTTCGGGTTCAACAATTGGTACAATACGTTGCGATTGGCAGATGGAAGCGTAACGGGCCAAAACGTTGGCATTCTCCAAGATAGACTGATAGGAAGGTGTGTTCTTGCCAATCTTCAAGACGCAACGCCACTTGGCGAAATCGCAACCGTCTTTCTTGTATTGAGCGCAACGGGCAGCCAAGTCATCCAAACCTGTGTAGAAGAGCAAGAATGAAGAAAGAGATTGAATATTAATGAGTGTAAATTACGAAACTGCGGTAACTATATATCGGAAGTGGAATTCGAGACAATTAATTATTCATAAATTTATATGCGAGTCTAACAGGAAACAATCTATGTTAGTACATATGTACATATGTCCAAACGGAACCCTTAACCTAATTAAATAAATAGTCTCCACATAGCTTGATCACCAATCTAGGGCAAATAGTGAAACTCATATTTCTTTCAATCTGTATCTCTGCTATTAAATTTTTGCTTAAGTCCTGCTTTATTTCTTTAACGAAATGAGGTAGCTCATCGAGCTTTCCCGAAAATCTGCCTTAAATCGCATACTCAATTTAAGCAAGCATTAAATAAACTTTCCCTCCCCTCTTACCCTGAGTGGTGCATTCGTCTTCGGAGCCGAACAATGGCACAACACCCTTGTCGACCTTAATGCCGGGAATGATGCCACGCTTCTTCAACAATTCAACGAATGGTGTACCATCATCGGCCTTCTGGTACAAAGTTTCGTGGAACAAAATCACACCGGAGATATTCTCAGCGACCTTGGGGTCAGTGGAGAACAACAGCTGCCGATATTGACGACGATGTTCATCGGTATTTTCAACACCAATATCTTGCAGACGCTTGCCCATGGTGGAGACAGACTCATCGGCAGCGAGAATACCCTTGCCGGGAGCGACAATAGCGCGCGCAATGCGGCTAAGCTCCTCCTGTAATTCCTTGGATGGGTAGTTGAAGTAGGTGGTCATTTTGTAGATGTAGTTTTTGTACTGGTGTTGAAGGAGACTGTAAATAGAAAGCGAAAGAGAGAAGAAATAAGCATAAGTTTAAAGAAAAAATTTAGAAGCTTACGCTAGAGTCGCAAACTATAAAAAAAATGTGTTTAAGAAATTTTCGATGTTTTTTTTGTAATCTTTTATGTTTCTTTTTAGTGAAAAGGCTTTGAAGCTATCTAACTACAACAGCAAGTGAAAGAGAGGCTACAAAGATTGTGTACATATGTATGTATAGACAAATGTTGCGTGAGAGTGTAATGTTGCGAGTCAATGTGGCGGTAGTTTTGTATGTATGTACAATGTTGCTGGTGCCGTCATAGCATTATGTTGCGAGATATTGTTGCGAAACTTTGTTGTTTGTGTGAATGAAAAGCGATTTTTTGCATATGTGTGTCTATCAAAGATATCTGCTGTTTGCGGTGACGACGTAATATATTTTCCATATGTAAAGGTCAAATCTACTGATAAATACACTTGCATACATACATTTATATTTGTATGTTCATATTCAGTGGAATTGTTGACATAAGAATACAAATTATTCCCTTTTTTTTGAACTTTGTTCTCTTTTTTTTCCACTACAGTGCGTCATATTGATAACGTCTACAGCTGATAACGCATTTTTGGGGTTAATCAAAGTGCAGACAAGCCATAATATTTATAATAAATAAGTGCTGATAAGAGGCATGTAACTCAAATTCTTCTTCGTGGAAAATTTTAAATTTTGTTTTCATTTTTCTGTAGTATTTCATAGTTTCGTTCTTAATTTTGTACATGAGGCGAGAGCCGAGCAGTGACAGAGGGTATGTTATATATAGACTGCGGATTTCTATGTAGAAAACGAAGCCTAAAAATATGTACCACTTCACTATAAGCAAAACAAAGCAATAAGTACATATTTTTAGGCTTTTTATAGTTAGTATAGCAGTTATAGTTATATACATAATCTCCACCTCTTCCACAGCCCGAAAATTTCTACACTAATCATTCCATGGAAATTCTAGTCTAGCCGCAAGTAAACAAGATCTGCCAGGACTTCCCTTTTATAAAAAATTTCCGATTTATAGCCTAGAAATTAGAGTGTCTGGCGCCCAATGCTTGCAAAACTCCTCAGCCATCTCTCTGAGAAATCGCCGGCATTTTACGGCTACTTTAGAAATAAGCGGTGCTTTTTCAAGGATTGGTTAGCTAACTGGCTGTCGCTAATGATGGGACCTTAGAAATAGGGCTCCCAAGTCGTTGCTGCTATACCAATGTGAGAGTATGTATGTAAGTTGTAATAAGGACCTTCAGAGGACGAGGAGTGATTCCAGAAAACTTTTAAACCGGGCTAATATGGACTGGGAATACTTCACCGGCAGCAGACAGAGATAGTGTAAAAATTGAATGCTTCATTCAAAGAACACTGCAGTGCTCGTACTAAAAAGTCAGATCATTAAGCTGGGTTCTCTTAAGAGGCCTGTTGGTTGCCTCACATAACACAGCTTAAATCATACTATATGCCGCTGTCCTGTTGTCAAAAATACGACTAAAATGCTAAGGAGCCTATCAATTCGAGAAGTTAGCAGATATGACAAAAGAAGAGAGCTGAAACTACTACTAAAATTCCCAAAAAGCGTTGACATCCATTATAGCGCTCCCACCTTCGGCCGTCGAAGTCACCGTTGGAAATCAAGCAATGATTGGGAGGGCTTTGAGGGAGTGCTGGTCGGCCAAAAATGTCTGCTTCCTCTCTTGGAAGAGGATTAAATATAGTGTCGAGTACTGTTTTCTGTATGCATCGTATTGGGTTAGTTCCGGCAATTACATATATGAAAAGAGTTTCGTTCATCAAATAAATAAGGGCTACATTAAGTTTTAGAAACACTGAGGGGTTCATATATGTATGTATGTATGTAAAGGTATGCATGTATCTCAAAAATATTCAATCAATGTTTAGAGGTTTCAATTTTTTATTGAAAATTAAGCCACTTTTTTATTTTTATCATTTTCTCCACAAAATTATTTGTAGTATATGTATGTATATAAAATGTTCCTATATATGTATAAGTATGTAGATATATTTTATCTATAGTCTGCTCATACTCTCTGCACTTAAAAATTTCCACACAATATTCAGCTGCTAAATTGTTCAGTAAAATTCATTTTTTTTCCTACGGAAACTTTGTCAGGTATTTTAATTTAATTTAATTGGATGCATTTAGATTTTTATATGTTTGCAAAGCATCAGTATATCATCAATATATTTGGATCACTACTAAGAATACATAACATTTATTTAATTTAAAAAATATATAAAATTTTTACACGCACCACAAGAAAAGTCGACCGATTCAGACGAAGCACCGCACAGATACTGAATGAAACGTTCAGCACTGGAGCAACCAAAAGTTCTACACTCAGCCGAGCAAATATATATGTAGGTATGTATGTATGCACCCAGCTAGCACATTTGCCAGACAATTTCTGATATCAGACAAGTCGGAACAAAAAGTTGACTATTTAGACAAGTCTTACAGGTTTTGTACAGATTTCTGGGCGAAGTGTCTGTAAAATTTTATTTATTTCCTTATCCGATATGTCTGATCGAATTATGTCCGATGTTATTTGGTCAAACATCTGTTAGATATGCGTTAGAATCGTCGGTGATTAAGTCAGAATTTCCCACTTCGTGTCGGTTAGACTTCCTGTCAACCTCTCCACATGCTTCTCTGACCGATATCGGTCAAAATCATACATATTTCTGACTTTTTGCCGACGAGTCTGACGGATATCTAACAGATTTCTGGCAATTTTGCTAGCTGGGTATATGCATACATGCATACGTATGTACATTAGGGTGGTAAAAAAAAAATAATGTCCGTAGTTTTTGTTTACTAAACATATACTTAGAACCGCCTCAAGGCCCATGAAGTTTTCCATGCAGTTTGTAATTAACACTTCTTCGTAGAAATGGTGTAGAATTCTTGAAAATCAAAATTTTTCAATCGAGAGATTTTCGAGATCTCTCTACAATTTCTATGAAAAAATGGGTACAGGGGAAAAAGTACATAAAATGCATGGAAAATTTCATCGGCTTCGGGGCAGTTCCAAATATCTTCTTTTTTTTTTTAAACGGGTATTCTTTTTTCCTAGGCATGAGAGCTTAACATTTTAAATTTCTTTCAACTCGAGTATTTTTGGACCACCCTAATGTACAGACATACATATATACATTTAATGTAGTAGTAGGCAGGCCTCTTTTCAGCTGTGCTGATAAGCCATAAAGCTTGCTGTCGTAACTTTTAATATAGCGGCTGAGCGCGCGCCACCAGAGAGGCACTGCGAATATATAGGGGGAGGCAGTATAGCCAGATTTTTTTTCTAACGAATCACATTTTCCTCAATTGCTTTGTTCATTTTTTT